ATCACCATGGCTGCCCGTTGTCACTGATTCTGTTCATAACTTTTATGGACAGAATGTTTTGGTGCAGCCAGCGGGCAGAGGGTTTCTGGTTCAGTGGACTCAGGATTCCATCCCTGCTCTTTGCAGATGATGTGGTCCTACTGGTTTCATTGTGCCGTGTTCTCCAGCTCTCACTGGAATGGTTTGCAGCCAAGTGTGAAGAAGCTGGGATGAGAAGCAGCACCTCCAAATTTGGATCAAATCCAAATGATCCTCAACTGGAAAAGGGTGGATTGCTCTCTTTGGGTCAAGGGTGAGCTTCTGCCTCAAGTGGAAGAGTTTAAGTATCTCAGGGTTTTGTTCACGAGTGAGGGAAGAATGGAGCGTGACATTGGCAGATGGATTGGTGCAGCATCTGCAGTATGGTGGACTCTGTACTGGTCTGCTGTGGTGAAGCGGGAGCTAAGCTGTAAGGCAAAGCTCTCTGTTTACCGGTCAGTCTATGTTCCTACCCTCACCTATGGTCTCGAGCTCTGGGTAGTGACCGAAAGAATGAGACTGCAGATACAGGCGGTTGAAATGAATTAAAATAAGGTGAGAAGTTCAGTTATCTGGTAGAGACTCAAAGTAGAACTGCTTCTCCTCCACATCGAGAGGACTCAGTTGAGGTGGTTCGGGCATCTGGTAAGGATGTCCTCTGGGCGCCTCCCTAGGGAGGTGTTTCGGGCATGTCTGACTGGGAGGAGACCATGGGGAAGATCCAGGACACACTGGAGAGACCATGACTCTTGGTTGACCTGGAAACGTCTTGGGTGAACCACCTCTTCCAGAAGAGCTGGAAGAGGTGGTTATGGAAAGAGATGTCTGGGCCTCCCTGCTCAAGCTGCTGCCCCCGTGACCCAACTTTGGAACAAGCGCAAGATAATGGATGGATGGATGTTAGAACCAACAGTTTGCAAAATATCTCAGAATTCACTATATTTAAATTTTAAGAAACTCACAGAAAGCAATCATTAGATTTATGCCAACACTTTAACTTTTAGTCATCCTAATTTAAGATGGCCACCATGGCTACTTGGTCTTATTCAGCACAAAAAATGCTGTAACTCAATGACTTGTTATGGATATGGAGCTAAATTTTGGTGAGAGTCATCTGCACAGATATTCTGAGTGCCAATTGACCACACAAGACCTGCTTTTTAAACTTTGGCATCAACTCCATCTGAAAAATATCTTGTGAACCACAGTTCAGATTGAAAACAAACAAAAAACATCCAAAAATAATAACTGGATATAAATGGTAAATGGACTGTACTTATATAGTGCCTTTTTATTTTATTTCAAGATACTCAAAGCGCTTTACACGACAATCTGCGCCCTCATTTACCCATTCATACAGCACTCTACATCTCTACAAGGCTAATTGAACAAATCATTCTAATGAGACTAATCAGTGCTTTAACTCACATTCAAACACTGGTGGGACACACATCAGAGGCTATGAAGGGTTCAGTGCCTTGCCCAGGGACACTTCGGCATGTGACTGCTGGTGGATTTGAACCCCCAACTCTTGCATTGGAGGACGACTGCTCTAACCATTCAGCCACAGTTGCCCACATTCAGCCACAGCCGTCCACGTAAATTTACAACTATTACCAGTAACATTACAGTCACTCCAATTCAAGGTGAGCATCACAGCTAATCAATACTAGTTAACACAAAAAAGGCAGTCAGTTTTGCATATATTGAAGCAAGTTTATGTGGTTGTAGGAGCATTTACTTCAAGCTCAAACATTTTGCACAACATTGTGCATAACACCATTTCTCAAGATAAGATGAACTTCGTTTAAAACACTGGCATGAAGGGCAGCAGATGATATGCAATCCTTCAAGGAAAGCTAGCAATTTGAATTAGTAAAACATTCAAAAAGCTGCAATCCAACATTTTGTCTCTCTGTACACAAAACAAACAAACTATATATTTGTATATGTATATGTGTGTGTGTTTGTGTGTGTATTTATAATACTACAAAAATATATAGTGATTTTTGTTGTTTGTTTTTTGTTTGTTTGTTTGTTTGTTTGCTAATAATTGATAGCATCAGCAAAGACATAGAGAGGCATTTCTGTACAAAAAATGAAAAAGTCCCATCTAGGTGCAAACTGACTGTCTTGTACCCTTTTGCAAACGTTTTATTAGCCTGTGTCATTCCAAGGATTCTTGAGAAAGATAGTGTACACTTGTTCAAATGTAATACAAAGCCAGTATTGTAGGGGCAGAACTCCATCAATGTCTCAGCTTGTTAGCGGGCATATATCAACTATCAAGCGTGCAGCAAAACCTGTTTTCTGTGACATCTTGTGACCAACTTCTGACCTCTTTGTACATAAACCACCACCCTCTTGAACTAGAACTGTGGCTTTTAACAAAGATGGTCTTGTACGTTTTGTTTGCTTGCAAGTGTAATAATTCAAAATGTAGGTTAGTGTTTTCATGACATAGCCCACATTTTATAAATGGACCATGATGTATTTTTGTTCAAGTAGTATTTGTCTTGCTTAGCTCCAAGGTCATCAGTTAAATCCTGTCAGTGCTGACCTCAAAATGTTCATACAAAAGTAGGACAATTGTTGTCATCAAAGTTTATTGTCCTTTCAAAATTTGATTAGGCATACCAAGCAACAAAGGAACCTATTAAAACATGAATCATAGCTATTTAAACACCTCGTGATGAAATTTGCATATTTATTTAGAAGGTGACATAATTGCTGTTTATTGCCCAAGCTACAGCAATTACGCTTCAGCTATTACCACACCCGTCGCAATTGACAAACTTAATGACAAATTACTGAAAGTTTGACTGTTGGATTTCTTTTAAACAGCAGGGTGTTATCTCTTTTGTTTTATATTACAAACTGTTATAGGAACAGTGAAAATACAGGCCTAACAACACGCCATTTCACAACTGAGATTAAAATCTCAGATTGTTTTCAATACTTTTGTGTTTTACTGACACAATTCTTCCCGCTCAGCATGAAGAATGGCATTAAGCAATGTCTTTAGAATAGCTTGTACTGACACAGAAGTTCTGATTTGTCAGTGATTCTTGGTCCATGACATTGTTTTTAAAAGACAGCTGCTGCTGCTCCAGTTTGCTGCAGCATCATTCATTTTTTTCTTGACAACTGTTTTCTCAGGGTTTTATCTGAACATTAATTAAGCTGTATTGTTTTCCACAACCTTTTTACTGATTGAAATGCATATCTTTTAATATCCTGATGCATGCTCAATAATCCAGGTAGAAAAATCCAAAAAAGTTCAATATGGTCCTCTGGACATTCAAAATAAACAAAAAACAAAACAAAGCAAAAAAATTTAGAAACGTTTCGTCTCTCATCCAAGAGACTTCCTCAGTATGAGGTGCTGTTTTCAGCTCAGTCTCTTAAATAGCACCTTCTCAGAGTGGATCAACCAGTTTGCTGCTGACAACCAAAACCAGCTGATCACATGCTCAAGAAGGACCATCAGCCTAACAATGGATCATTAGCACACTGATGGCTGTTTACTATTCACAGAGGGCTGAGTGATACTAGCAATAACAGCATTGTAAGAGGGGGACAGTTGAACACGGAGGCCTCTACCCCTGTTTAATGATGGACGATTTCTTTTCACAAAGATGGCCTCCTTTACTCCTCTCTCAAACCATCGTTCCTCTCTGTCCTCAGTGTGCTAATGATCCATTGTTAGGCTAATGGTCCTTCTTGACCATGTGAGCAGCTGGTTTTGGTTGTCAGCAGCAAACTGGTTGATCCACTCTGAGAAGGTGCTATTTAAGAGACTGAGCTGAAAACAGCACCTCATACTGAGGAAGTCTCTTGGATGAGAGACGAAACATTTCTAGATTTTTTTGCTTTGTTTTGTTTTTTGTTTATTTTGAATGTCCAGAGGACCAGATTGAAGTTTTTTGGACATCTTTTAATATTTGATCAAAAAAATAAAGCTCATAAATGTCCATAGGTTCAAAATTTGGCATTAAGCTCAATCCCTTTGTCTATTCTTGTAAACAGCCTCAGTGTTACATTGACAAATCCCTAAATATAAACAGTGAAAATTCCCTTCTTTTTCTCATTTACAATCAACCTCAGATGATTATTTCCAGTGTATGTGGAAAAAAGCACTTTTCTGATTCTCTGTACTCAGATGTTTGTTCATCTCTGCAACTCTATACAGAATCAGAATAAGCTTTATTATCATTGCACCAAGATACAATGAAAACATGTACTGTACGTACAGTCATCCGAAAGATGGACATAGTGTTAGGATTGAGGTTGGATCAGAACCACAAGAATTCAGAAGAGGTTTAAAAGGTTTTATTAATAAAACAAAGAACTGCCACTCTCGGCTGGTGTTGGTGGTCAAGGAGCCGGAACTGAGTCTTGTAAGGCTCAATGAGCTGGAGGCAGAGAGCTGAACAGCGCGGAAACGTCACCAAGGGGCGGTGTGCGTTGGTGATCTTGAGTGGGCGATCCAGAGGCAGAGTCGGGGGCAGAAAAAAGGTTGGCAACAGGATCTGATAAAGGCAACAGTACCCTAGAGCAAGGCAAAATTCGGAGTCCAGAACACAAGCAGGTAAAGGCAGCAAAAAGGCAGATGAGCAGAGATACAAAAGGGCAAGACAAAAATCAGAAGTCGAGGAGCAGGCAGGAGACTGAAAACAAGATCAGGATACTAGAGAGAAATGCTGGAAGGGACCAAGGGCTTTCAATATTCTGGCACCAGACTGTGAGAGAGAGAAGTTTTTAAGCACCAGAGCACAGGTGTTTCCCATGAACACAAACGAGCTGCAGCGAGAGGAGGTGTGACAGACAGAAAGCTGCAGATAGGAAGCAGAGCTGACAGAAACCAAATGAACATAAAGAAAACTAGAACCTAAGCCATGAAAATAATGTTTTAGCAAAGAGCAAAGTGTGCATCGTGACAGATCCCCACCTCAAGGCGTGGCTCCAGTCATGCCACCTGGTTAGTCCGGATGCTGTCTGTGGAAGTCCCAGATGAGGCTACAGTCCAGGATGTTGTGGGCTGGAACCCAAGAGCGCTCCTCCGGGCCGTATCCCTCCCAATCTTCCAGGTAGTGAAGGCCACGCCCCCATCTCGTGGACTGGAGGAGGCGTCGCACTGAATAGGCGGGGACCCCATCAATCAGATGGGCGGGAGGGGGGAAATCAGGTGCTGGGTGGAACTGGGACTGGGTAAAGGGCTTGATACGGGATACATGGAATGATGGGTGAATATGAAGTGACTTGGAGAGGGGAAGGCGAACAGAAACGGGACTGAACACTCTGGATATGGGGAATGGGCCAATGAATCGGGGGGCAAGCTTGCGAGACTCAAGCTTAAGGGGCAGGTCCTTGGTGGAGAGCCAAACCTTCTGACCCACCTGATAAGGAGGTTGTTGAGACCTCCGTCAATTGGCCCCTTTAACGTAGGCTGCAGAGGTCTCCAGGAGGGCCTTCCTGGCTTTCCACCAGGTGTGTTTACATTGAAGGGCTGACTTAAGGGCAGAGGGAACTCGAGTCTTGCGCTCCTGAAAATAAAACAGAGGGGGTTGAAAACCAGATACAACAAAAAACGGGGACAGACCAGTGGCGGAGGAAGGGACAGAGTTCAAAGCATGTTCCACCCAGGGGAGATTGGAGGACTAATTACTGGGGTCTTTCTGACAGAGGCCCATCAGCTTGGTCTCAACCTCCTGGTTGGCCCTCTCCATCTGGCCATCCGTTTGGGGATGGAACCCAGACGAGAGACTGATGGATACCCCCAAGAGGTCGCAAAACTCCTTCCAGAACTTGGAAACAAACTGCAGACCTCTGTCAGAAACTATATTGGTGGGCAGCCCGTGGAGGCAAAAGACTTCACGGGCCATGACAGAGGCGAGTTCTTTGGATGTGGGGAGTTTAGAAAGGGGAACCAAGTGAACCTGTTTGGAGAAACAATCAATAACAGTCAAAATAACAGTATTGCCAGCTGAGGGGGGAAGACCAGTGATAAAATCTAAACTAATATGGAACCATGGACGAGAGGGAATGGGAAGAGGGTGAAGCAAACCGGAAGGGGGGCGACGTGTGGTCTTAGTCTGATTACAAACATGGCAGGAGAGTACATAAGTCTTTACATCTTGGTACAGTGTAGCCCATCAAAACTGGGCTCGAACTAGGGCAAGAGTCTTAGCAATGCCAGGATGGCAAAACAGGTGAGAGTAGTGACAAAATTTTAACACATCTTTAACCCGATCAGGTAGGACAAATAGCTGGTTGGAGGGACATGCAGCTGGTGGAGGGTGCAACTGGTCCCTTTCTAGCTGGGTGATGGCCAGGCAGGCAGAATTGGGAAGGATATATTCCTCGCCTTGGATTACTGAGCGGGAATTGTCCTCCATCACTCTGGACAGAGCATCTGTTTTAGTATTTTTATGACCAGGTCTGTAAGACAAAGTAAAGTCAAAACGAGCAAAGAATAATGCCCACCTGGCCAGTCTGGGGTTGAGTTGTTTGGCTGATTTAAGATATTCAAGATTTTTATGATTGGTCCAAACCTGAAATGGAACCTTGTCACCCTCCAACCAATGCCTCCACTCTAACACGAGCTTCACAGCCAGTAGTTCATGCTCTCCAACATCGTAGTTGTGTTCAGCAGGAGTGAGTTTTTAGAAAAATAAGCACAAGGGTGAAGTTTCCCATCCTCACCATGTTGACTTAAAATGGCCACTGCACCAACCCCAGAGGCATCTACCTCTACAACAAATGGTCTTTCAGGGTCAGGGGCATGGAGGATGGGAGCTGAGGAGAACAAAGCTTTGAGTTTGTGAAAGGCAGAGTCAGCGTCATAAGTCCATGTGAACTTAGTAGTGGATGGTGTGAGTGCATGGAGAGGACTGGCAGTACGGCTGAAGTTCTTAATAAATCGCCTATAAAAATTGGCGAACCCCAAAAATCTCTGCAGTTGTTTTTTGTCCTTGGGTATGGGCCAGTCTAACACTGCACAGACCTTGTTATTGTCCATTTGAATCTGATTGGGTGAAATGACAAAACCTAGAAATTAAGTAGAAGATTGATGAAATTTGCAGTTCTCTGCTTTTACAATGAAGTTGTTCTGAAGGAGCCTGGTTAATACTGCACAAAGATATTTCTGGTGAGTGTGTGGGTCTTTAGAAAAAATGAAAATGTCGTCCAAATAAACAAAAACAACTAACTTAATCATGTCTCTGAGTACATCATTTACCAAAGCCTGAAACACGGCGGGGGCATTAGTGAGACCAAAAGGCATAAATAGGTACTCATAGTGTCCATTTGGCGTGTTAAACGCCGTTTTCCACTCATCCCCCTCTCTGTTTCGAACCAAATGGTAAGCATTTCTAAGATCAAGTTTCGAGAAAATGGTGGCCCCCTGAATGAGGTCAAAAGCTGAAACCATGAGAGGAAGGGGTACTTGTTCTTTATAGTCACTTTGTTTAAACCCCTATAATCTATACAGGGCCTGAGTGACCCATCCTTTTTTTAACAATGAAAGAAACAGCACCGGCTGGGAAGCTGATGGTCTGATGAAAATTGCTTGTAAAGATTCTTTAATAATTTTGCATGGAGGTTTGTTCGGGAGCATATAATGAGTATAGTGCACCTTTAGGAGGCGTGGTACCAGGAATCAGGTCAATGGCACAGTCATAAGGTCGGTGAGGAGGTAACGAAGTTGCTCTGGCTTTATTAAACACTTCTTTTAAATTGTGATAAACCTTAGGAACCTTTGACAAATCTGGGTAGGTCTCCTCGATCTGCTTAGCAGGATTGATTAAAGAACTGCCTGGAACAGGCAGCTCGATAAACACTCCTCGGACCACCCCAAGATCACCTTACGCCTCCAATTGATCTGGGGGTTATGTTTGGACAGCCAGGTTGCCCCCAGAACCACAGGGTCTGAGGAGAATTAATCACAAAAAAATGTCAGTTTCTCCTTGTGGTTGCCCCCCAGACTCATATACACAGGTTCAGTGATCAGTGAAGAGGAGTGAAGTGGGTGACCGTCGAGAGCGACAACAGCCAGGGGGTTAGGGGAGGGAAGAAGCTTGATACTTGCAGCAGTCGCAAAGTGCTGATTGATGAATTCAGAGTCAGCCCCTGAGTCGAAAGTCTGGATCTGGATGGGGTCCCTACCCTCCAGAGAGATCTTGGCAGGAACGGTGAGAGATGAGGATATTGAATGGTTCTGGGTCTGACTCAGCAGGCATCTCCTTGCACCTGCTGAGCTTGGTATTTTAACGGACATCTCGAGATGGAATGTGAACCTTGGCCGCAGTAGAAACAGAGGCAATTACGTCGTCTTCGTTCTCGTTCCTCTGGGGTCAGGTGACTTTGACCAATCTGTATGGGTTCTTCCTGAGTTGGCAGAGAAGGAGGTCCAACAGGTAATGGAACTTTAGGAGACCTGAAATCACCCATGGTTCTTTGTGGTCTATAGTCTTTCTCGCTGGATCTTTCTCTCAATCTCAGATCCACCTTCTTGGCGAGGTACTCGAGCTCCTGTAACGTGTCAGGGTACCTCTTAGTTGCCAGGACATCCTTGATCTCATCAGAAAGTCCCCAAAAAAAGGCATCAGATAGAGCCTCCCCGTTCCAATGACTGCCCGTGGCGTGGAAGTCAATAATGTACTCTGTCACTCTGCGGCTGCCCTGCTTGATAGAAAAAAGTTGACGCGCTGCCTCCCTCTCGGGGAGCATGGGGTCAAAAATTCTACACAGTTCATTAGAAAAAGCAGCAAAAGAGCAACAGCACCTTGAGTTATGTTGCCATTCAGAAGTCCCCCATGTCTTGGCCTTGCCAGATAACAGTGATATCACGTATGCCACCTTGGAACGTTCAGTGGGAAAATAGGACGGCTGGAGCTGAAAATGGATATCGCACTGAGTTAAAAATGGCTGACATTGGTCTGGCTCACCTTTAAATAACTCAGATGGTGTCAAGCATGGCTCGTGCAGTACTGTAGCTTGTGGTCCAGCTGGTACGAGTCCGGAAGCAGGAACAGGATCCTGTGGTGGTGGATTTTTAGGGGACATGTTTTTAAGCATGTTCACAATTTAATTCATGCCATTCTTTAATTTACTAATGGCTCCCTCGACACCAGCTCGTCATTCTGAACCTTGTGGGTGATCCATTTGGCCAGAATATATGGTTAGGATTGAGGTTGGATCAGAACCACAAGAATTCAGAAGAGGTTTAAAAGGTTTTATTAATAAACAAAGAGTTGCCACTCTCGGCTGGTGTTGGTGGTCAAGGAGCCGGAACTGAGTCCGGCTCGATGAGCCGGAGGCAGAGAGCTGAACAGCGCGGAAATATCACTGAGGGGCAGTGTGCGTCGTGGTCTTGAGTGGGCGATCCAGAGGCAGAGTCGTGGGCAGAAAAAAGGTTGGCAACAGGATCTGATAAAGGCAACAGTACCTTAGAGCAAGGCAAAACTCGGAGTCCAAAAAAACAAACAGGTAAAGGCAGCAAGAAGGCAGATGAGCAGAGGTACAAAAGGGCAAGACAAAAATCAGAGGTTGAGGGGCTGGCAGGAGACTGAGAACAAGATCAGGATACTAGAGAGAAACGCTGGAAGACTACTCACCAAGGGCTTTCAATATTCTGGCACCAGACTGTGAGGGAGAGAAGCTTTTAAGCACCAGAGCACAGGTGTTTCCCATGAACACTAACAAGCTACAGCGAGAGGATGTGTGACAGACAGAAAGCTGCAGACAGCAGAGCTGACAGAAACTAAATGAACATAGAGAAAACTAGAACCCAAGCTGTGAAAAGAGTGTTTTAGCAAAGAGCAAAGTGTGCATTGTGACACATAGTGCACAAAGCTGCTGCTATAAGCACAGCCCTCTTATTCTTATTCAGAATAATATTTTTGCTTAGATGAGAAAAGGGAAGAAAACATGAGGAGAGACGGTAGAAAAAAAAGATCTCTCACACCTTGTCCTAGACAGAGCACGATTTGAGGCATCAAAAATCCTACCACAGCAAAGCAACATAAATAGACGTGATACATGTACATATAGGCTGGTAAAGACATTGAATTTTAAGGGAAGGTTGTAGCATAGTCCAGAGCCCCCCCACCCCAGCTATTATCCAGATAAGAGGTGTTATTTATCACCAGCTCAGTTGAGGTTCCGTCACATGTCCATGGCCTTGGGGAAGGGATGGTTGAGGAGACAGACAAAGCATTTTTGTTTTTCCTAAACATGCCAGGATGAGTTGAGATAAGTCCGCCATCAAGGCCACAGTTTGGGTCAGGCAGAACTCATAAATTGCCGTTTCTGCCTTTTAAAGTCTCACTGGTATATTTCTCTGATGGTAAATCCAAACAGCCGAATTGATTCCTTACGCCGAAAGTCGAGCTCAAAGCTTTCTCCAAGATTATTTTCAACCATTCATGGGTGCTGCCAGAAAGTTCACAGTCCTGATAACAGCCTGCTCCAACTCTGACGCAGCTCCACATAATTCAGTCTGAGTGCAGCCAAGCTTCGATACATCCACACAAATACGTAGACA